ACTTCGTGGGGAGGGGTATAATTTTGCACCTTTGTCTCTTGGTTTCTGATGTGTGTCTCCTGTCTTGGCTTCTTGGAATCCAGATACACAGAAGGAAGCCTCCACAACCTGGGCCTTCCAGAACATGGTTCCTGAGATTCTACCAACAATGCCTAAGCATCCAAAGAGCATGTCCACAGGGCAGCCCACAAAGAGGATTAGGGAGACATTACTGCCTTGAAAAAATTAAGTTTGCAGAAGCATATTATTTAGTTTTGTCCAGTTTCCCTAAAATTCTCCAAAGAAAGTGCTTGTCTTCACTCTAGAATGGAAAGGAACATTTTTTTCCCCAAGAAGTAAAACAGGAATAAGACAAAAAACATCTGGTGTCTGTTACTTTTATAACAGATGGAAAATGGGTTATCTTTGTTTTACGCTGACCCACAGAATGACAAAAACCAAGATTTTATTTTTTTATATGAAAGTTTCGATTGCTGAAAAAAGTTTTAAAACTATTGCACTATAGTAAGTCATAAAGATATGATTTATTTATAAAGTATATTCGTCTTTTTCCCATCCTTCCTTCCTCCCTTTCTCCCTCCTGTCTCTTCTTTGCTTGTCTCTTCTCCTTCCTTCCTACTCTTCACTGCCTTTCACTTGCTTGAGGACACATCATACATCTCCACATGGAAGACTGCCTGGGCGTTTCTCCCTCTTCCTTCCTGAGGGAACCCCAATTATGTTGAATAATACATTAACTCTAGGGAACATCTCATGATTGGCTCCAAGTGCACGAGTCCATTCCCTTACCAGAGGTGGCTTGAGGAGAAAATGTATGACCCAGTGTTGTCCAGTGTGCATAAGAGGAATTCTGCTGGTGCTACTTGGAAATATTCCCCTTCCTGGTAGGGAAGAAAGGTGTAAGAAGAGGCTTTTGCTTCTCTCTTCCTTTTGTGACTATTGGGCTGTCCCATGATGCCTGCAACTGGGCCAGCCATCCCGCCACATCTCAGGGTGCTCCCTTGGCCTAGAGCCATTGATAGCAGAGGGACAGAAAGAACATGGGACTGGAACTTTCCCAGTCTTCTCGAGCATTCTTAAGTAAACTAGAATTTTCCTAATGGTTGAAGTCAGGTTTTTCTGTGACTTGTAGCCACAAAAGCATTTCCCTGTACACCTGGGCTCTAAAATCAAGTGGAAAGCTCTATTACATTAAATAGAAAAGTAATCGTGTTAATTATGATGACAGAAATATGATCAAAGAGCTCCGGCTCCACCCAAGACTGATAGTAGCACTGTTGGAAGGGGCTGGGGAGAGTGCCCCATTCTGTCTCGTGGGAGGAGAGGCGGGTTTGGTGAGTTATCTGTGGTCACTGTTAAATAATCCTGAGCAAGTTTTTAATTTTTTTAAAGATTTATTTATTTATGCCTACAAGAACTAGGGTACAGGTCAGAGTTCTGGGGGGTGAGAAGATTCACCAGAGACAGAGCCGGGAACAGAACAGGCAGATTGACTGAAACACACTGCTGAGGGGAGTAGCGGGGAGACAGGAGAGGTCTGCTGTGCCATGTGGGTAGCTCCCTGGCTGGCTGGGCATTGAACTCGTGCTGCAGAGGCGACAGATCGCTTCATATCTTGTGTCTTAACCCCTTGTGCCACCAGGGAGGCCCTGAGCAAGTTTTTAAGTCCAAGTAGACCCGTTTTGCCATTTTAGTGTATTCCTGGAGTTTTCGTTAACATATTTTTGGAGAAGACAGGGCTATTTGCCTCTGTTTGAGTTTGATTTTACAACTTGTCTGGCAGCAGCCGGCCTGCGCAGTGGGCTTGCCTCCCCCAGCTGCCCGCCCCACCTGCCACACCTGCGCCTTCCCCCCAGACCACACATACACGCAGTGCAGTCGTGGTTGCTTTGCTCCCTCCGGCTTCCCCGACTTTGGGGTGGAGTTAGGGCTGCTGGGACCTGGCCTCTCTAGACCCGGTGTGAGTCGTCATCTGTGCATTTATCTGGGCCCCCCTCGGGCCGGCAGAGGAGGAGGTGAGCCGAGGGCGAGGGGAGCTGAGGACATCTCCCTGAGGTTGGCTGACCGCGGAGGGCAGTGGAGGACCCAGGGCGGGAGGGCTGGATGTGGAGAACTGGGGGGCATTTGGGGTTCGTACTGGGCCTGGAGGAATAGAGGGGTCTGGGCTCGTTCCTGAGCGTGACCCTCCGTGTCCGCCTCCAGGGGCTGTAGCGCGGCCTCCTGCGCCGCCCCCCAACCCCACCCCTCCGGGTCTCCAGGTGTCCTTCAGAAGGAAGAAGAAATCCTCCTGCATCAGCGTCTGTTTAGGCTGGGCCGGTTGGAATGAAAGCCCCTGCCCAGGACAAGCACATCCTTAATGTCCGCGACAATTTCCCAAGAAGCTGAATTCAGATTTGTTGTTTGGCGTGTTTTGCACAGTATAACCCTGACCACTTCCTGGGTTCAGATCCTCACTTTCATTATCTACGAAATTACCTGCAGTGGAGACTTTGTATTTGGTTCACAGTTTGAGTCAGGGAGCAAGACGCCTCCAGCTTCACTCTGGGGAATCGGAGCTTCTGGGCCTCTGGGCCCCCAACCCTAGCGCTTCAGGAGGGTTAGTTTCTGGGAAAGCTGCTGTGGAAATTGTGATCAGGCTGTGCTGACCCTGTGGTTTGCTATGGGAAGTCTGCACATTTCAATACTATTAACTATTCCCATCATAGCACAGAGTATCTTTCCATTTATTTCTGCTTTTCATTTCTTTTACCAGCATTTTCTAGTTTTTCAGTGTACAGGTTTTACTTCATGGACAGCTTCCCTAGGTATTTCATTCTTTTTTGATGCAATTGTACAATTTTCCCATGGATGCTTTCTGATCGGTCATAATGAGGCTGTAGATACACAATTGAGTTTTGTGTCTATATTGATTGTGTGTTCTGTCACCTTACTGGTTTCATTTTTTCTAACCATTTGCCTTTTTTGGTGGGGTGATGCTTCCTGGCTGGGGATTGCACTCAGGCCACAGTCACCTCCGACAGCTTCATAGCACCGAGATTAACCCCTGCACCCCCAGGAAGGGCCAAGTCTTCCTTTGTGAGATGCTCCTCACTGACGGGATTCCTGGGTTGTGTCAAAGAACCCTGCCCTTTGGGCCACAGTGGTGGGGGGGGGAGGCAGAGCCGGGGGCTACAGGCCATGGGCCAGGGAGCGGTTCATGGAAGAGGCCTGCTCAGCAGGCTCCGTTTCAGGGCTGCATCCTGCGTGGTCCAGTCACTCGTGCTTCTTCCTATATGTCCATGTGACTGTCAATATTAAGACAATGGAAGGGCCTCCCTGTGGCGCAGGGGTTAAGCACCACACTATGAAGAAATCTGCAGCCTCTGCAGCACAAGTTCCATCCCCTGGCTGGCCAGGGAGTAATCCACATGGCGCTGCAGACCTCTCCTGAGTCACTCACTGCTCCCCTCAGCGGTGCATGTCAGTCAACCTGCCTGTTCTGTTCCTCACTCTGTCTCTGGTGGGTCCTCTCACCCCCCACATCTCTGGCCTGTACTCAAGCTCTTGTATGCATAAATTAATAAATCTTTAAGAAAAAAAGACAATGGAATAGTTGATTGTATTAAACACCATCTTTCATTCACTCAGCCCTTCAAATCAACAATGGATTCACGAAGCGTCTGGTATGTGCCGAGATGTGTTCTAGCCCGTGGTTGAGTTAGACACGTGGGTCCTTCCTGCCATGGGGTGTAAATTCTAGAAGCTTCTCCTGAGGAGCTAGAATGTCAAAGCCCAGTGGCTACAGCTCCATGAGAACATAGAAAACCAGGGAAGAGCCGGATTGCAGCAGCTTAAATCACAGCCTCAGGTGTCCTTCCCCAGTGGGATGTGAAAAATCATCCTCTTCAAGGAAAAAGCTCAGCCATCCTGGATGCCCCCTACAATATCCAGCACACGGTGGGCTCATTATGAAAGTGTCTTGAGCGATGGGGACAGTTGTGACCAGATCTTTGGGAAGAACCAACTTGTCCATTCATTCATTCATTCAGCAACCCCAGAGTGGGCGGGTTTTATGCCAGGGCTCATAAAAAGTGTCTGGCTTATCTAAAGCGATACTGAAAACAGCAAACCGCTTATAATTTACACAGTGGGTTATATTTAAAAGCATGGCTTCTTGTCATTTAAAAAAATGTCACCCACAGCTCACTTTTTCAAGTGTTTATAATTCCAATGAGTGTATAACACAGCCATTCTGTATTTGTGTGCATTTCTGTAATAGCCTTCTTGTTACCCCACCTCACAACATAAAAGTCAGGGCCTGACAATCACATCTCCCCGCCACCCCACATATACCTCTGTCACCCTGCATCAACCCTGCTTCCCCCAGCCTGAGAACCAGCTGTCTGCTGGGGGGCGGGGCCCTGCAGACTGTTCCAAGCCGCTCTTGGCCATTTCGTCAACGGAACCGACGTGCCCGGAACAGCCGTTGCAAGCAAAAGCGGCTGTTTCTAGCGGACCCGCGAGGTGGTGTCCGCCTCCACCAACATGACTCTTATCCCTCCATGGGCGCCGCCTCAGCCAAGCTCTTGGTCGACTGGAGATGTTTTTTCAGTCAGGTTCCTTTAACCTACCCCAGTGTGGCCCCTGCACGCGCACCGCCACCACCACCCCCAGAGCCCCCTCCCTCCCCTCCCTGCCTAATGAGCCTCTAGAGCATGACACCCCTAGGTGTCCACGGGCGCCCCCGAGGGGACCCCAGGAGAGCAGGGGGCCGCGTCTCTGGCCCCTGGACGTGCGGCCGCGGGGGCGTGGCGAGCGTTTGCCGAATGACTAAATGTCGCTCCGTCCTCAGATTCTGAGCCCGCCCTGGGGCCGGGGAGCCGGCTCAGGCGCCTGCCCGCCATGCAGAGCCTAGGGCCGACTAGTCGCGCGCTGCTGGAGCCGGAGCGCGCCCCGACGCCGCCGCCCAGCCATGGCAGGGCCCAGGAGCAGCTGGGCCCCCCGCCCGGGACTGGCGGGCCATGGAGGCGGCGGCCCGAGCGACGAAGGCGAGGAGAAAGGTGAGGAGGCCGCGGGGCGTGAAGTGGGCAGCATCCCCCACGGTCCAGTGCGCGAACATGGTGGGGGCCGTGTCGGGCCGCCTCGCTGTGGCGGGAGTCACCCCAAACCCAGTGGCTTCAAGCAGCGCCCTGCTCCTGCATCTGCCGGCCATCGGGGGGCCGGACCTTCGGGCCGCGGGGCGCACGGCGGGGTTCCCGGCCCCCCTGGCAGGTACGGGCCAAGCTCACCCACGGCTCCAGCCAGGAGCGCCCCTCGCGTCCGAGGCGACGAGGCGGGGTCCTGCGACACTGCTGCCTCGCGGGCGGGACCTGCAGCCCAGGGGGCTTTCGAGCCCTGAGGCGGGGTGAGGGCCGCGTCCCCCTGGCTTCCGACGACGCGGGTTCCCCGCGAGACCGCGGGGGGCGCGGAGGGGCAGTGTCTGCGCCCGCGGAGGTCTGGTTTGCTCGCTGGGAACCCTGGGGCGTCTGACGGAGGAACGGGCTCCCCTGTTTCAGACTTTGGCCAGGCGGCCCCGCTGGGCGCATTACAGCTTCCCCAGAACTGGGGCGACGTCTGGGGAGTTTTGGGGTTTGTTTTTGCGGGCGGTGGCGCGGGGTAGGGGTGTGTCCGCGTCTCTGAGGGACGCTGCCCCTGGCGGTCCAGGCGGCGGAGAGCGGGCGTCCTCGCGGGCTGAGGCTCAGGCTCCAGAGGGAGGCGGGTAAGTGGACCCGAGAAGCAAGGTCCCCACTATCCGCTGACTGACCTGCGGGCCGCGGCCGCTCGCGGGGCGCCGCCCCCCCACGAGGGCAGCGCCATTTGCTCTGCGCGGGGCCGGGGCCGTCAGCCGCGGGGGCGGCGGGGCCCATCTCAAGAGGAGCCAGGAGGCCCCCGCATTGCCGAGGTGTGCCCAGGCCTCCTTCTGCCCGTCTGATGTGCTGGGGGCACCGCACGGCCGGGAGGGACTCTCCCCAGAGGTGAGGGGCAGACTCAAGGACACCCAGGCTCTGGCACTCCTCCTGGCCTGAAACTTCCCGGGCGGGGGCGGGGGCGGGGGCGGGGGGGGCAGCAAGGGAGGCGGGGGCCGAGCCCCGCCAGCTGCCCAGTCACTCATGGCCTCTCTCTGTGTCCCCAGACCTGCCTGCTCTGGACGCCGCTTTCCCCCAGGCCTAGAGCTCCATGGAGGAAGACACCAGGCCCAGGCCAAGGACTCCCAGGTAAGGGGGTGCTCCCCCCTCCGCATATGCCCCGCTCTGGTGAGACATAGGGCAAGTTAGGGTAATTAGGCAGTTTTAGGGACACTGTAGGAGGGGACCTTGGAGAATTGAGGAAGGCTTTAGAGATAAGGACAGCAAGAGGAGTGTAACTAATTCCACCTGGAAAAACAAACATCCCAGGACCAAGGACAATAGTTAACGCTGGCCTTGTTTTTTTTTTTTTTTTTTTTTTCCAGGTGGTAAAGGGAGACAGAGATTGGAGAAACAGAGAATGGTTTAATTTATGGACAACTTAAAAGGGCAGCTGTTTAACTTCAATGTAGAGATGCTCATCTGAGGACTGGGCCATAAAGATAAAGAAGTAACAAATGGGGAAAGAGAAAGCTTTTAGATAAGGAATGTTAAGATCCCCTGCTCAGTAGCAAATTAAGTAAAACAGCCAGAACTAACCAATCACAGAGACTGGTGGAGCTTTAGAATAATTAGGGAAAGAAGGTATATATTCCCTGGGACATGACTCCACTTTGGCTTTCTTGCCCCTTCCAGGCCTGGTTTCATGGTCTGGGAGTTCTACTTTGTTTTTGTTTTTTTTTTTCTCCTCAATAAACTTTTTTTTTTTTTTTCTCTAAACAAACCTGCCTCTTCTCGCTTGTTTGCCTGAGTGTCTGCGAAGTTCCTGCTGAGGCTTCGTGAGACACCGACCTGTGGGGGTCTAGTGGCTGGGACTCAGCGCTGCCCCTGCAGCCTGGAATCTGTTCCTGGCTGGGAGACTAGGCCTGACAATTCTGGTATCACTGGGAACCCTGCCCCGTCTGCCCAGGGCTAGCCCAGGAGGCTCCCGAGGGACAGGACGCTGGCTCCGGTCCCCCGTGGCTGATGCAGCAGCCTCTTTGTCCCCACAGCCCTCATGCACGAGGGCACCGCACAGTACCCCCCAACCCCCCAGCCCTTCATCTCTGCACCGGCAGCCCTCACCCATCACCACCACCTGTCTGTCCACTCCCCCACCCCCCTCACCCCAACATCGTGCTCCCTGCCCACCCCCCTCCCCTTGTGGATCCAGTTTTCCTTCGTCAGGCGCCCACTTGTCAAGGGCTCTCAGCCCACCCACTGCCCGCCCCCCACTCCCTGTGCATCCTTGCTGACTGTGGTGAGGCACCACCAAGCACGTACTCAAGACTGTCTTGGGGTCACAGTGATGGATTTTGTTACTAGAAAATCCTCCCACTCAGCCGTTCCCATGTTTGCCTTCATTTTTACCATGGTACCATTCCCTTTTTGGTTCATTTGTAAGTGTTTGACCGGTTTAACTCTTGCTTTGTCCAAGGAAACAGCATCAGGATGGATTTATATCCATTTCCCTCCAGCTGTGAGATGTGTTTCCCATTATTAGGGCTTGGTTTGAAAAAAAAAATGTTTCTGCTCCTCGTGTCAATGTGGAGGTTGAATCCTTTGTGTTCTCTGTCTACAAATTATGCAGTACTCCAACAAGCCTTGCCAGCTTCCTGAAGTTGGATACCCCGTGTTTTTATGTCACACCGTCCTGTTTGTAGCTCACAATGACTGGACTTAAAAATTAAGTTATGTTCTTGATTTCTGGCTCTGTGAAGGGACTGTGGCCTCTCCGCTGCTTTCCCAAGCTTTCTGGAAGCCTTGGCTGTGGCCTGCCTCAGTCATGACTAGTGTATGTGTGTGTCTTGTGGACATTTTAGGCCGATTTTCCGCATGTAGAATTCCAAATTCGGCTTACTACATTGCGTGCGCCTTATTTTTAGCCCCCCCTGTCCCGACCCCACGAAGGTTATGGGAAAACCTGCGAGAATGAGTATTTTTCTAATCACGCCAGAAAACCCCAAATAAATGGTGAAACTGAGTCCCTTCATGTCGCTTGACCAGGATTCCAAGGCCTTTTCCTGGTTTGCCAGAGAACTGAGGACATGCAAATCTGAAATGGGGGGTTCTCTCTCCCTCGCGCTCCTGGGGAGTGCACCCCAACAAGAAGAGGCATCTAAAGGGAAAGGACACAAATCTGAATGGGGGCGCTGCATCCCTGTCCCCCTCAGACCCCGGTCCTGTCCCATTCCGTCCCATCCTGTCCCTTCCCGTCCCATCCCGTTCATAGCGCCACCTAGTGGCGGGTGAGAATGGGCCATCCAGTGGACTAGGCTGTGTGGCCGCGGGTCCTGGGCCAGCCAACTGGTCGACCTCAGCCAGGTGCAGCAGCAGGCGGGGCCCCTCCTCCCCCCTGGAACCCAGCAGGGAGGAGGGACCACGACCCAGGCAGCCCCGTCTGGAACCCAGGCCGAGCCACCTGGGCCCCAGACTTGGGACATGCACGCTCCACCCCTGAGGGGCAGCGCCAGCAATCCAGGATGAACGTCCCCATAACCAAAGCCCGGCCCAGAAGCTGCACCACCCTGGACTTGCAGCCAGGTAGGGATGGGGCCAAGCAGGCACCGCACCAGGTGGTGGCTCCCACTAAGAGCGGCATCTGACCCGAGCAAACGTGTGCCACACTTGGATTCTCCTCGCTTGAGTCCCAGGGGTGAACAAACTGCTCATTAGTGAGGCACAAAGGCACACAAAGGGATCAGGTTGGCAGGAACACACTTCCCTGGACTCAACCCTGGGCACCAGACATGGATGCAAGAGCACTACAGGGGCCCTCACCACACAGCCCAGGACCAACAACAGGCCCCTGCAAGAGCCCCCTTGTCCTGAGCAGATCACCACGCCACACGATAACTGGACTGAAGCCCAACCACCCTAGGTGGAGCCTCCAGGATGGCACACCCCAAGGTACAACAGCTCCATAGGGCAGAAGCACTGAGGGCCAAACACAGGCAGCTGAGGGCCAACATCTATGCTGCTACCCCAGGTCTCCTGGAAGCCCCCCAGGCACAGAGAGACCCAGGCTCTGGAACTGGCCCCCCTCAGACCCAGGGCCCCATCATTGCCACCAGGAGAGTCCCAACACAGAAGCCTCTGACTGCACAGAGCACACAGGCTTCCAACACAGGAGAGAAGCTACCAGCACAACCATGGCGACAAAACAGCCCACATTTCAGGCCCAAAACCCCAGCAGCCAGTGCCGGCCCCAAGCTGCTATGGGGGAGGACCCCACTCAAGCAGCACTGCTTGGGAAGGGGAACAGCCACTTTGGGTCAAGTCATTGGGACTGACCTGCTCCAGCCACAAGCTCAAACACTATAGGGCCCAACCTGGGATCTCCAGTCCAGAACTGCCCCCACAGGGTACAACAGCACCAGGCTCCCAGTAAGCAGGCCCCTTGTGGGGACAGCACTACCAGCATCCCCAAGCCAGAGCCACACATCAGCCTGATGTCCGGAGGCCACACAGGGGACAGCCATCATAGGCCCCCCACAAGGCCTCTGGTTGCCCCTTCTGCCAAGCATGCTTGCTATACCCCCACAGGGCCAGGGTAGCTGGAGCACAGATCACTGACAGATACTCCCCAGGGCCTAGGCCCCCAAAAAGTGGCACTTTATAGCACCAAAACTTAGAGAACATCCCCATGTGCTGGGGGCCTGGCTCCAATTCACAGCAACCCAAACTGAGAACATTGAGGGAGGCTCCCCCAACTACAGCCAGGGGTGTCCAATGCCCCAGGACTAGCAAGTACTGGGCACCAGCCCAACTTGCATAGAGCCCCCAACACCAAAGAGGGCAGGCCACCACTAGTGCTAAGACCATAAAAGGGCCATGCAAACCTTTCACCTCTCAGGCAAGCAGCATGTCAGTGACCACATACTGTCCAGTCTCAGCCATGGACACACCTTTTTGGGAAGTATTCGAGGGTCTCCGCAGGCTGTGTCCCAGGAAATAGATGTTAGGTGAGCAGATACTGGAAGAAATCGGGCCTTCAAGGGCAAGGCATGATGTCAGAAAAAAAACAGGAAAACAAGGCCACCGGACCTGGGGAGATGACTTCCTAAAGCCTGCACCGCCCCCCATACACGGTTCAGATAACACCCAACCCCACCGCTTCTGTGGCCGCCACTTACGGGAGCCGGGAGCGGGGAGCGAGCCGTCCCAAGAGGCAACCTCTATCTATGCCCGCATACTGCTGCTCTAGAGAGGAGCGGGCGAGCGAGGAATGCACCGGGGACATTGCCAGTAAGACACGCACGGGGCTTCTGCGGAGAAGGGCACAGCATGCCAGAACGCACAGAATTCTTTTTCAGAAAAGGGTGGGGTTCACAGCGGCAGCGATGTGCGGGAGGGGATGGGGGACCCCGGACATGCCTTCCTTCTTGCGACCCCACATTTGTGGCCAGGGGAGCACAGCACCTCATCTGTGGTGCCAGCCAGCTCCCCACACTTGGTGCGGGAACACGGCCCCACAACCCAGTGGTTCATTTGTGTGAGCGTCGACATGAAATGCGGGCTCAGACCCCAGTCGGGCCCCACCCCGCATGTGAGAGGACGACTCTCCATAGCCAGCAGGAATTGGGCTGCGCAGCAGTCTGGGAAAGAGCTGATAGGCCGGAGCCTGCACATGGCCGAGGCCATTCATCAGGGGACCCGGGTGCCCCATTCATAGGGCACCTGGGCGTGAAGACGCGCCATGAACGACGTGCCTGTCAGCGTGGACTACACAAGTGCACCCTGGAGACAACAGCCGGGTCCTGGGAAGCCTTAAGAGACTTTTGCGGGCAGTGGGCCTGATGAGCCGAGACCTGTGAAGAGCCACACCATTGCAGCTGCTCGGAGCCGCCCTCAGAGGAGGGAACTCTTATTTCTTCTGTGGCGCAATTTCGTTTGGGCGATCCCTTCCGCAGACCAGTGAAAGAAACACCCATGTGAAACCGATAGGACCACAAAATTGCTCACGCTAGCAGAACACTCGAGGGCTCTAAGGCCCGGTGCACGGAAAGCCCCAGGAGCACACACGCGGGCGAGAGAACGCACCAGATTTCGCACAGAGAAAGGAACCACTGATAGTCTGGCAGCAACAATCGCCGATTTCGGGCCAAAAAAACTCAGCACCCAGGGGCGTGGCCGAGCCCTAGGCCCCAGTGGGTCCCTGGAGCAGCGGCCCGGCCCCCGCCACTGCCCCCCGCCCCCCTGCGCGACTCCTTACCCCCGTCCCGGGTCTTCTGGTGGACCTTGGGCGCGGGGCGGTGCAGGACACCGCTGCGGGGCCATTTAGCTTCGGCCATCGGGACGGAGGCCTCTCCCCGCCGCGGCCCTCCCCAAGAGCGGCTCCAGCCCGATCCCGCTGGAGAACCGCGTCCTGTGGCTCCGGGATCCTGGGATTCGGCCCCGGGCTCGCGGCTCGGCCCCAAATCCCTGTCTTCAACGCACGGCGCCCATCCCGGTTCGCGGCCCCTGGCCCTGGCCTTTCTGTGGGCTTTGGTCCGAAGCTAGCAACTTGCAGGTCCCGCCGCAGGCCCCGCGCCCGCGGCCCAGCGCTCGGCCCCTGCGGCTGCGCCTGTCGCACCAGGTTCTCGGCCTCCTCACCCTTGGCTGCTCCCCGGCTCCAGGTCCCCCAGGCTAACGGCCCCCGGCCCCGGCCCCCGTAACTTGGGCAAACAGCGGCGGCATCTCCGACCTTCGGGCATGGCAG